AGGCCAGGCAGGGACCTTCCGGCTCATCTGTGAGGAGCAGCAGCCGCGTTTCACCAGGAGAACGTGGACAGACCTCAGGCACCCTCACACCACCCCGGGGGTGCTGCAGGGCCCGGAGCAGTAGCTCCATTTTTCACAAGGGAGAGCAGTGACGCTCGGAGAGGCCAGGGGCTGGCCCAAGGCCACACAGCTAAAGCCGGGGAGGTGGGACGTGCCCCACGCGGCTCGCCCTCTGCAGATGGCACCCTGGGGGACGCTGCTCCGAGGCCCTTTCCCTGAAGGTCATTTTGGGATCCCTGCCTTTCCAGCTGGCTGTCCTGGCGACCGAGCCTCAGCACCACATGTCAGCAGAAGCCCGTCCAACCCCCTCATCCTCAGAGGCCCGGAGGGGGCAGGGACAGACCGATGTGGCCCCTTCTCTCCCAGGGCCCAGACCTGTGCTCGCCCACCTCCCTCTTGCGTCTTGTGAGGACAGACCCCCGCCCGCCTCGCCCCTACCTTGCCGATGACGTCGTTGCGGCTGAGCCTGTCCTTGTCCATGACCGTGATGACGATGGTGGTCTCCCTCAGCTTCTCCGTGGGGACATCGAAGGCGAAGGACTCGTTGAAGATGGGGTTCAGGTTCCTCTTCATCGTCACCGTCTTCTTCTTCTCTACCCGCTTGTCCTTGTACATCAGCCACACCTTCACGTAGGGGTCTGGGCACCAGGGGGGCAGGGTCAGCCGGCAGCGGGCGGCTTCCCAGGGCACCCATCTCCCCCAGGGGGCGGCAGCGGGGGCAGAGGGTCAGGAAAGCCCCCAGCAAGGGGGGTCGGGGACCGCTGGACGGAGGAGCTGGAGGGGGGAACTCGGCCGCCGGGTCGCCCTCCCGCGCACAGGGAGGCGGGAGCCTAGCGGGAGAGGCTGGGTCTCGCCTGAGGCCACAGAGAGCCAGGCCCCCGCAGTGTCCCTTCCTCATGCTCCTGGGAAGGACAGTCTGAGAGGACACTGCCCCGGAGGCTGCTGCGCCCAGGGCTCTAGGGCAGAGGAGTGGGGACTGGAGGTGGGGGAGGGGGTGGGGTGATGGGAACAGCATGGACCCCGCTGACCACGCCCAGCATGACCCCGTGTCCCCGAGCCGCCCGGGCCCTCCCCCCCCCCCCGCCCCCCGCCGGAGGAGGCCCGCACCTGACGTGCCCCCGATGTCCATGGGTTTGAGGGTTCCGGGCTTTGATGATGGTCACGATGATGGAGTTGGCAGAGGGGGTTGTAGCAGAACGACAGGAGCAGCTCCTCCTCGGCTCTCCCTGGGGGACAGG